CAATAATGTACAGTATGTGGAAAATAATGTGTTTTTTGAACCTTAAACCGCATAAACACATTTCATTACACCAAATACACAAAATAATGTTCTTTTTAGCAACATCATATGACCCTTTAATGTTTTCAGTTTTATTATTATTATTATTATTATTATTATTATTATCATCGTTGTTGTTGTTTACATAGGTACAATATGAGTTTACAATATTACAAAGTTTCTAGATATTTATATTCTATATAAATAAATAAAAATAGACTAAATAATAATAATGATGATGATAATAATAATAATAATAATACAATTACAGCATAAAACTGCAATAAAACGAATCATTTTGTTATAATAAATAATATATTTATTAATATTTTCAGTTTTATTATTATTATTATTATTATTATCCTCGTTGTTGTTGTTTACATAGGTACAATATGAGTTTGCAATATTACAGTTTCCAAGATATTTATATTCTATATAAATAAATAAAAATAGACAAAATAATAATGATAATACAATTATATCATAAAAGTGCAACAAAACAATAATAATTCCTTTAAAAATTACTTTATTTTTTAAATAAGCAAGTTCATTAACTTATTCAAATTTATATTTCAATGTTTGTGATCAGCTGACCTAATGATACAGTACTGATTTTAGAAATTGCATTGCTAAAAACTTTAAAAAATGAAGAAAAACATTCTTTTTCACACTTTTAATCAAAAAAAAAACAAAAAAAACGTTGACCCATCTTTAAAGGGAGATTCTGTTTTTCATATCTGGCGGGTGGGTGTTCAGGAAGTACTCCAGTCAAACAGAGAGACAGTTTATGACAGGCGGTCCACCCTCAGTTTCCATGGCCCCCCATATAGCTTTGAGTCACTTTCTCAGTTTGGGTAATTTCTCATCATTCACTGATTTCTTACCTGGGGACCCCTGTCTGACTCACCAAAAGCACCTGATCTCAGAGATGTGGGTCTCAGACCCAAAACACAGCCCAGACAGAGGTGAAGCTGAGGGGGATGGGGGTTACCTGGGGATTCCTTGGAGAAAGAGGGCCAACTCATCCTCACGCGCACCACAACAGAGGAATATTACATGAAGTAAAACATCTGCCCACTCCAGAGAGCTCAGTTTAGAGAGTGATCAGTAAAAACAGACTTTCAGTCACTGCAGCATTAGGATTCTCTTCAGTTCAGGTGATTCAAACACTGTATCCATCAAACTGAAGCACAGAGGGAGGGATTAGTTACAACAGATCATACCCTGATGTAAGTAGAATTGGTTTCTTGGTAACGTTTTTAAAACGTATTGTTCAGCTGAGACTTAACTTGTGGTCTCAGTGCTGTATGTGCTAAATTAATAACAATCATTTCTGAATTAACTAATTATTTTTCCTTCAGGTTCTTTCAATGCTTCTCAAAATCCCTGTATTACGAAGTAGAGTTGCACTTTTTAGAAATGTGACTGACATGCTTCTTCTGGGCTCCATTTGAATTGTTTTTAATCAGTTCTCATAAGGTTTAGACGATGCAGAATCAACCTGATACTTCAATGTTTACTTCAGTGTTGTTTTTCATTTAAAGTTGAATGAGAAGTGCATAGGTGTAAAAGGTAATAAGAAACAGCAAATCGAAAACATTTATTTGCCAGTTTCTGAATGCCACCTGCACTCTGCACACTTCACAGAAATGCATTTATGACAGGACTTTTTATAGGTCCCTCATAATTATGTCAATCAGTGTTGACTTGCTTCATAAATTTCCCTCTTTTTTCTACAGCATTCTAAGTAATGAATTGCTACAAATAGCTGTGCGATCATATTTTACTTCAGTATTATTGCACAGGATGATGATTCTGTTTAATCACAAGGATGTTTACAAAAAAGCTAAAATAATACGAGCTTGTAAAAATACATTTGTTATAGCTATATATAAATATATATATATATATATATATATTCTGAAAAATGTTTAGAAAAGTTTGTGAAGCTGTATTTTCTTGTAAAACTCCAATAATCCTTGTTTTACAACTTTGAAAAATCCCTTTGTACAGTGTTTTACAATGTGTCTGTGTATAATACAATTTATAAAATATTATATTATAAAATCTGCAATTACCTTTGTTTATTACTGAAATCTCACATATAAAGTGATGTAAGTATATTATAAATGTAAAGCTAGTATTTTTATTCATAATATTTTTTAATTGTTAACTGAAAGTATTCACTTTTGTCAGTGAATATAAATTGTTTATGTATGTTACCATAATTTTATAATTTATTTACTGTAATTTTCAACTCGTCATGGTCGAACGTATTGGTCTCGTGACCCAAAATAGATTCCACCTACTTGAGACACAGAACATAGACGAACTAAACATGGTAATAAAGCACACAGTTGAATGTAAATACAGTGATAATGTTTTTGAATCTGAATGGGTGAAAATTCATCAGACTCTGTCAAATGTAAATGTTTGTATCTCATGTCAGATTCTTTCATGAGTTGTGTGCAGATGCTCACCGGTAAAGACACAGATCACAAAGAAAGCCGGTAAGAAACCACAAAGAAAAATAATTTTGGTTATTTTTTCCGAATATTTGCACATTGTAAGCAAAACACAAAGTTAGTCCTCAAGCAAGATATGTATTATATATTCATTTTTGCATTCGAGAATATCCACTTTATTAAGATTAAATATATTTTTACAGCTCATTCAAGTTGACTTTCCTTTCTTTGCTTTAAATTAGGAAGACTGAAAGAACTGTACACAGTTGTAGCGATGTATTACTGTTATAAAGCATTTGCCATATGTAACTGAAATACTTTCAAGTTTTGTGCACTTTCTATTTTTATATTGAATGAAATCATTCTAGATGTATGTATTTAATGTACTCTGTTTGCTCTGTGGAAAAAAATAAAAAAATGTTTTAACATTGAAAATGTACATGTCATTTTCTACAATCAATAAATAAATAAATTAAATTGATGTTTTAGAATGTTTTTTTTTTACTTTGACCTTTGTTGTACTCCATCTATTTTTATTATTTATTTATTTATTTAATAAAAGTCCTGGAAAGTTGATGAACTAATGATAAAATGTTGCTTTAGTACAGAGACTGAACTAAACAGTGTAATGGAGGTTTTGTGTTAAGAGTCTGTTTTAACATTGAAAATGTACATGTCATTTTCTACAATCAATCAATAAATAAAATTGAGGTTTTAGAATAATGTTTTTTCCCCCTTTGACCTTTGTTGTACTCCATCTATTTTTATTATTTATTTATTTTATGAAAGTCCTGGAAAATGAATGAACTAATGATAAAATGTTGCTTTAGTACAGAGACTGAACTAAACAGTGTAATGGAGGTTTTGTGTTAAGAGTCTGTGCCTGTGACGCTCTCCATGCGGCAAGGGCTGTGGTTTCTCTGTGGTGGTTTTGTTTTAGTGTAGCGCTGAGGAGCTCAAAGTTGAACGAGCGATGCGAGAGAGATAATGTTCTGTCTTTTTGCACAGGAAGGGGTTTGTTCATTTGCCTCAAAGTATCAGGAAGAACAGCTGCACATTCAGCTTGAATAGCAGCACAGTTACTCTCATACCCACATTTTTTATTTGATAGATCTTTTTTTTGTTTGTATTTGTTTTCCCTTGTATTATACTGTAGATCCTTTTCATTTTAAATGTTACATTTATCTATATCATGTCTTGTATTTGAGAAAATATGAAAAAAACTGTTCATTTACCAATTTGTTACTGGTGTGATTTTTTGTGGATCTATTAAGTCATTTCTTCTCAAATTCTCAAGGGTGTTCTAGCAGAATAACCACAGGTGTAGTTCACCACATTCACTATGAACATGTACATATAGGTAGTCTATTGCCCTGACTTGACACATAAATATTTCAAGCTAATTAGACTTTCTAGCTGTGATGAGACAATATCAATCAATATAGTTTCATAATGGGAACACATGCCCTCAGAGAGGGAAACTTGATAACACCCAATCACATTAACCAACACACCCTCAGATATGTAAGACGGGGGACACCATAAAACCCCTACAAAACAAACAAGTGCCATCAGAGAAATAATAACCCACAGAATCACTCAATGATACACTCATTTAATTTAAACTTGATTAATATATCTATTTAATGTGCATAACATGACAGCATATGAGATAAAAGAACATCATAATTAGAAAACTGTACATTCAGTCGCATATTAAACATGCTGTGCTGGCAAGAACAAAACTCAAAGCTCGATTAAGACAGTTTAGGTTAGTCCGAGTTCAGTTTTGGGGTGATCCTGGTGGTATGTTCAGCTCTGGTTTAATTCAGTCAAATTAGACAATGAATCTAATTCATTAAGTGGACTGTTAGTTGAATAATGTCAGATGAAACACTAAACTGACAATGTAAGCTATTATTTTTATTTACACATTTTTACATTCTAAAACCCAATATATTTGATATTAAAGCCATGGCAAAATTCTACAGGTCCACAGGACCACTGCCTGTAAATAACAACAAAAAAGAAGAGATTATTATATACATATATATAAGACAAAGACTGTATTTGAACTTTTTAAAGGTAAGTCATGTTTTTATCCAAATGTAGATGCTTACATTTGTTTCGACGTGAAGAGTGTGTTCTTCCACCTCATCGCAATGGATTCGTCCTATGGAGAAAATTGTAAAAGTTGAAAAAATCTGTTAAAGCTCATCATACTGGCAGAAATAGGCTAACAAACGATTTAAGTGTTTATACAAGTTTCTTTGAGTCGAATAAGCATAACTGTCGAAATAGAACCAATTCAAACACCTATGTAAAGGGCTATAATGCGATACGCCGTTTCGCAAATGACAAATAACCCACATCCATAACCTTTCTATTTATTTCCTAATTTCCATGGCCAAAAAAAGGGCCACGGATCAGTTTAGAGACATTTTAGTCATAGAAATATCATTAATTAAATTATTTGATAAAAAAACACTGAAAATCTCATTATGCAGCAATAGATTGAAACATTTCTTGACTTACTTGGTAAATCGATGTCTGCACTTCTTAGGTAGACCTGTTGTCCCAATATATATAAAAAAGAAAACATTTATGAGGCAGACTTGACATGCATATAAAATTTTATACAGAATTCCTATTCAAATTAATTTCACTTTTATTATACGGTGAACAGTTTATACTGTTACTGAACTATTAGCACTTTTAGGGTAGCACTTCTGAAACTCTGACAATGGACTACTGAACATCTGAAACAATGTATGCGAGAGTAAACATTCTGAAGTTGTGAAGCTTTTTCATTGACCACTGTGATGTGCCAGTGTGTTATAAAGACATGAGCGAGCTCTGTGTGTATGTGTGAGTGTGTGTACTCACGACTGAAGTAGTAAAGTGTGCCCGCAAGTGTAATGGCCAAAAGCAGAAGAGTACCAATGCCCGGCCAAAGCACAAATTTTTCACAGCCTGCAACTCAACACAAAGAAACCAATAAAAAACAAAACAGCACAAAATCAGCAACATCTAACAGCACAGCTCAGTCCGCACCTTTAGGAGAATTGGAGGGTTTGCAATTACAGATCTTCACAGGTTTCTTGGTCTTAACTGTTGGCGGCTGAACTGTTGGAGGATTCACTGGAGAACAAAGAAAAGAGAACATCAAGACAGAACATAAATACACATAGATTTATTTATATACATTTTATGGTGATATGAGATTTGCACCCACTGCGTCCAGCAACTTGACAACCAAGTCAATTAATATGAACTTTCCAGACAAGAAGATCCCAGACAGGTCAAGACTGCTAAAACTAACAGAACTCTGGGATTGTCAGGCCAAACATCTCGGAATCTTTTTCAATCTCTCCACTGATTAGTCATTTATTTCAAGATCTTGAGATGTTCTGGGGCACCATGAAAAACATCTCCTACTTCACACCAGGTAAAGATCCTCACACTTTAGGGATGGAAAGCTCAATGCAAGGGTGATTTTACTAATATGACTCTGTAAACCAACATTAGGTGTCTCAGTTTCATTACTTTGGTCTTCTTGACTTTCTTCATCCTAAAATCTTCATTCACTAACCAACGCTAACACCATTAAAGAAAGAAACTCAAGAAAATAAAAACAGAGTAGAAGGAGAGCGCTGCTATACCTCCAGGCATTATGTTATATCCAACAGGCATAATATTCTTAGTTTTAAACATGCAGGAATAGAGGCCGGTTTCATCCTCCTGTAGTCCTGTTATACGCAGGGTGTAGACCACCCTCTGTCCAGAGGACACGGAGCCCTTGAAGCGAGTGACGTTCAGGTGTTCTCCATGTTGCTCTCTGCCAGCGCTGTTGACATACACTAGGAACTGAAGAGTGTTTGTCCTCTTAAGGTATCGGTACCAAAAAACCTCCTGGCAGGAGTGATCTGGACATTCACAGGACAGAATTTCCGAGCCACTGATTTTGGTGTAGAGATCAGACGGCGTAGCTTGGAAGGTGGGCAGCACGGACGCTTTAGGAGAAACAAAGAAAAAGTCATAAGTCCTGCTTTGTTCGTTATGCACATTTTTATTTTTGGGTTTAACGATATAGTTTAGCTACTTAAAATGTTAGGCGTCTAAATGGTACCTATTCAAAAGGACTTTGTTCTTCTGAAACAAAACACACAGGTTTGCTGAACCCTAAACGTCTTTCCTAAAATTATCTTTAACCCAAATGCAGATGTGTGACCTGAGAAACACCTGCATCTGTCCGCAGAACACCACAGCTGGCACTGCATCAAATCAAACACATACTATAAAAACACTTGCGATAAATATCAGGCAAGACAGAAATTAATCACATTCAAATAAACACACTGCCAATGCTGATTGATGAAGATAATACCTATAAAATCACTTAACCAATACCCAAATAAATAGTGAAAAAGTATATGGTGCCACATAATCAGCATCATTGCGCTGTAGAAAACAAAATACATTTAATCTCGAAGTGTTGCTTTTTATCATGTCACATTATGCCCCCAAAATGTGTGCCATAAGGCTCTCCCAGATATCTTCTATATAAATGCATGATCATAAAATATGTCTCAAGTTTAAATGCTTAAATATCTGCAGCCGTAAAAAGTAAAAGTAAAGCAGAAACAAGTTACAACCACTTTGAATTTAATTACTTAAATTCAAGAAGAAAATTGAAAATGCATAAAGGTATTAATGAAAAAAAGTATTACATTAAAATAAAGATGTTAAAATATACATAAAACTATAAAATATATTATTTAAAAAATATTTTCCAAAAAAAATAAAAATAAAATCTGTATGGTAATGTATGCACAAAGTTGTGTCTACTCAGTCACATATCACTTTGGCTGAATTACTAGTTAGGTCAAACAAAAAAAAAACAAAAAAAAAGCACTTAAACTAAACTCATTTGCATTTTGGAAAACACTTTTTTCTCACAGTGGAAAACCGCTTTACACTGAAATCATATATAGATAGAGCAGATCACGATAAGTTTATTCCAAGGCCTCTAGGCTGGACATACACATTTCGTTCATAATAATTTATGAATAAAGATTTGTTAATTAATATGCACTGAAAATTCCACCATAGCATCATGACAGTAACTCCGAACAACCCCGAAGAACAAAACTACAGGCCCGTTTTTGCACCACAAAGTCAAATTGTTGGTTTTTATTCAGAAGCCCAACATTTCTCAACTCAAAATCAATGTGCTTATTTTCAATTCCATATTCGAGATAAACTGCACTAATGAAGTTTTTGAGTGTGTGGGACTCTGGAGCCTAAGGCTCAGAGGGGCTTGTGTGGGAGTTTTGAGCTGAAGTGTTAGAGATCACGTTCATTGGCCCTCGTCTCTCAAGGAGGGCTGGAGGGGCTCATGGGCCCGTGGAGGGGTCGTGAAGAGGAGAGGATGTGGGAGATGCACACGCCTCGGAGGTCGAGGGTACGACAAAGACACAGGGAGCTGAACCACACGATTCTTTGAAAACAGGAGATCTCAGGGGGCTCGAGAGAACGCTTTAGTGGAGACTGTCGACGAGTTTGTGTCTACGGAGGGCTTTCAACTCTGCGGTTACATAGACTTGGAAAAAAGTTCATATAGTTCTGAAGTACAAAAGCTGTGTGAGAAGCTACAGGTGTCAGATCCACAATTTAATACAAGTGCATTTGAAGATGTGACATTGAAGACTGGAGTAATGATGCTGAAAATACAGCTTTGCATCGCAGGAATAAAAAGGAATAATTTAAAGGAATAAACATTTTTAAATATATTAAAACAGTTATTTTCAATTGCAATAATATTTCACAATATTACTGTTTTGACTGTATTCTGATTAATTAAGTGCTGCCTTGGTAAAGATAAGAGATTTCTTTCAAAAACATTTAAAATATATTATTATTTTCAACCTATTGAACAATGTACTAGGCTACTCTATTTTATATATTGAAAGGTAACACCGGGGATCCAGCATGTCTTTAAAATGACAAAAAAAGGAGACAGAAATCTATTAGGCAATTATTATAGTCACTTATAATATCACTTGTGCTTCCGCATTTTCAAACTGGCTGACTTGATATTGGAAATGGCCTTGAAATTGGTGACTTTCACTGATGTCAAGTCTCACGTTGCATCTAAAGCCAGACAGCAGAAGGCATTTTCTCTGAATAATGAATTTTGGTCTGTTTATGACACACACAAAAAAAAAGAAGAAAAAAAAAAAGATTTTACGATACTGTTCACTTTATTTAAACAATTAATGTTAATTTAACACCATTGTATTAGATTTCTCATTCAAACACAATTGCATTGTGTTAAACTGACTTGAAACAGTTATGCTTTGGTTCAACTAAATGTTTTCAGTTTGAAAGAACATGTGTCAATTAAGTAGGTCAAAATAGCATTTGGTGCTTGTTCTGTTTACTTAAATCAAGTTAAGAAAATAGCAGCTATTGACTATTGCACACGCAAAAGCATCGAAAGGAATTATTTTAATAAGCCCACACACTGAAGTACAAATTAATATTTCAGCGTGTAGTGACAACATTTACGCTGTTTTTGCCAATGCACTGTTAATAATATATAAATTAAGATCCATTTGAGCTTTTTTAATTATGTTTTAGAGTAATAGAGAGTAGAGTTGATTTAATAGGCATTTTGAAGACGTCAGCATATATTTTAACCAACACGTTGTTGGAGAAGTTAGAGGTTTAGCGGCTTTAAACTGACGTAGTTAAAATGCAAGCATTTATGAACTCACAATTGAGAGCTAAACCATCTGACAATCAATTTCAATAGGACTTCACATATTTACAAAACTAGAAAAATCCACTGGTCATTATATTATTTTCATAGTTATTGAACATTACAGGACTTTGTTCTTCTGAAACAAAACACACAGGTTTGCTGAACCCTAAACGTCTTTCCTAAAATGATCTTTAACCCAAATGCAGATGTGTGACCTGAGAAACACCTGCATCTGTCCGCAGAGCACCACAGCTGGCACTGCATCAAATCAAACACATACTATAAAAACACTTGCGATAAATATCAGGCAAGACGGAAATTAATCACATTCAAATAAACACACTGCCAATGCTGATTGATGAAGATAATACCTATAAAATCACTTAACCAATACCCAAATAAATAGTGAAAAAGTATATGGTGCCACATAATCAGCATCATTGCGCTGTAGAAAACAAAATACATTTCATCTCGAAGTGTTGCTTTTTATCATGTCACATTATGCCCCCAAAATGTGTGCCATAAGGCTCTCCCAGATATCTTCTATATAAATGCATGATCATAAAATATGTCTCAAGTTTAAATGCTTAAATATTTGCAGCCGTAAAAAGTAAAAGTAAAGCAGAAACAAGTTACAACCACTTTGAATTTAATTACTTAAATTCAAGAAGAAAATTGAAAATGCATAAAGGTATTAATGAAAAAAAGTATTACATTAAAATAAAGATGTTAAAATATACATAAAACTATAAAATATATTATTTAAAAAATATTTTCCAAAAAAAATAAAAATAAAATCTGTATGGTAATGTATGCACAAAGTTGTGTCTACTCAGTCACATATCACTTTGGCTGAATTACTAGTTAGGTCAAACAAAAAAAAAACAAAAAAAAAGCACTTAAACTAAACTCATTTGCATTTTGGAAAACACTTTTTTCTCACAGTGGAAAACCGCTTTACACTGAAATCATATATAGATAGAGCAGATCACGATAAGTTTATTCCAAGGCCTCTAGGCTGGACATACACATTTCGTTCATAATAATTTATGAATAAAGATTTGTTAATTAATATGCACTGAAAATTCCACCATAGCATCATGACAGTAACTCCGAACAACCCCGAAGAACAAAACTACAGGCCCGTTTTTGCACCACAAAGTCAAATTGTTGGTTTTTATTCAGAAGCCCAACATTTCTCAACTCAAAATCAATGTGCTTATTTTCAATTCCATATTCGAGATAAACTGCACTAATGAAGTTTTTGAGTGTGTGGGACTCTGGAGCCTAAGGCTCAGAGGGGCTTGTGTGGGAGTTTTGAGCTGAAGTGTTAGAGATCACGTTCATTGGCCCTCGTCTCTCAAGGAGGGCTGGAGGGGCTCATGGGCCCGTGGAGGGGTCGTGAAGAGGAGAGGATGTGGGAGATGCACACGCCTCGGAGGTCGAGGGTACGACAAAGACACAGGGAGCTGAACCACACGATTCTTTGAAAACAGGAGATCTCAGGGGGCTCGAGAGAACGCTTTAGTGGAGACTGTCGACGAGTTTGTGTCTACGGAGGGCTTTCAACTCTGCGGTTACATAGACTTGGAAAAAAGTTCATATAGTTCTGAAGTACAAAAGCTGTGTGAGAAGCTACAGGTGTCAGATCCACAATTTAATACAAGTGCATTTGAAGATGTGACATTGAAGACTGGAGTAATGATGCTGAAAATACAGCTTTCCATCGCAGGAATAAAAAGGAATAATTTAAAGGAATAAACATTTTTAAATATATTAAAACAGTTATTTTCAATTGCAATAATATTTCACAATATTACTGTTTTGACTGTATTCTGATTAATTAAGTGCTGCCTTGGTAAAGATAAGAGATTTCTTTCAAAAACATTTAAAATATATTATTATTTTCAACCTATTGAACAATGTACTAGGCTACTCTATTTTATATATTGAAAGGTAACACCGGGGATCCAGCATGTCTTTAAAATGACAAAAAAAGGAGACAGAAATCTATTAGGCAATTATTATAGTCACTTATAATATCACTTGTGCTTCCGCATTTTCAAACTGGCTGACTTGATATTGGAAATGGCCTTGAAATTGGTGACTTTCACTGATGTCAAGTCTCACGTTGCATCTAAAGCCAGACAGCAGAAGGCATTTTCTCTGAATAATGAATTTTGGTCCGTTTATGACACACACAAAAAAAAAGAAGAAAAAAAAAAGACAACACACAACTTTCATGATTATTTTATGAAGCTCTTTTTTTTTGTCATTTTGGAGCTTACCAGCCCACATCCCCACTCTCATATGAGTTTGGAACACATGAGGGTTAGTAAATTACAAAATCGTCATTTCTGCTTGAACCATCCCATTTTTCATGCGAATGTGATAAAGAACACACAATCAAAGCATTTTCAAGTATAATTTCCTCTGAAACACATCCACATTCATCTTTCCACAATCAGTATGTTCCCTGAGCAGTCAGAAAGTGTTCCAAAAGTTAGTTAAGGATTGTTTAATGGAGACATTGAAAATCGGTTTAGCAGCAGAGTCATTAAATAAACGGATGATTGCATGATTGTGTGTTAACTATCAAAAAGAGAAATGCAGCTCTATGCAAGAAAGAGGGCAACAGAGTAGCAGTCGTGTCCTCATTCAACTCCTGCACCTGTTAGACCTGCAAACAAAAATATTTCACACAAAACCAAGGATTGCAGACTGAGGCTCTTCGGATTCAGGGAAGTGTTTACAATATGCTGATCTGACCACTATTCGGACAACTCTTCACTTCATTCTCGCTGTTCATTACTGGTTTCATGTCTTTCTTGAACATAGAGACTAAGTCTGAAAGACATTTCTAGCAGATCCACATAAAGCATTGGTCTCAAACTCAATTCCTGGAGGGCCACAGCTCTGCACAGTTTTGCTCCAACCCTAATAAAACACACTTGATCCAGCTAATCAAGGTCTTCAGGATCACACTAGAAACTTCCAAGCAGATGTGATTTGGAGCTGGTTGGAGCTAAAGTCTGCAGAGCTGTGGCCCTCCAGGAATTGAGTTTGAGACCACCGACATAAAGCGTACATGCTGGCACTCAGCGCCCCCTTGAGACCAAACCTGGAGTCATAAAGAAAGGTTCATGTATTTTTAGATTTTTAGAAAAAGTTCAACAATAAATACTAAATCTATGCTGATATAAACAGCGGGAGGGATTTATTTGATCAAAGCATGAAGCAAGTTGAAGGACACATCCACATGGACATGGTGGATGGCTAACATAGTGTTTTTGCATCACACCTCAAAGGTATAAAATATTAGTGATTTCTATAAGAGTGAAGTGCAGCTCTAGAGAGACGTCCTAAAGTCAGTAGTCCTGAGCATTTCAAAGAATGAACATTTTCACATCATTTACTCACCCTCATGTCATTCCAAACCTGCCTGACTTACTTTCTTCATTGGAACACAAAAGGAGAGGTTTAGCATAATGTTCATGTTGCTCTTTTTCCACCCTGTGAAAGTGAATGGATGTTGTCAAGCACTAAAAATGGCAAAAGCATCTTAAAGGTGACAGTTAATTCATACAACTTGTGCAATATAAAGTCTTTTGAAGCCTACCCTCATGTCATTCCAAACCTGCCTGACTTACTTTCTTCATTGGAACACAAAAGGAGAGGTTTAGCATAATGTTCATGTTGCTCTTTTTCCACCCTGTGAAAGTGAATGGATGTTGGAAGCACTAAAAATGGCAAAAGCATCTTAAAGGTGACAGTTAATTCATACAACTTGTGCAATATAAAGTCTTTTGAAGCCATTTGATTTTTGCTTTGTTTTTAACAAACGCTGTAGTTTTTTTGCATTTCACATTTCTGCTCACGACACAGCAAGGTTGAAAATGTGGAATTGCAGGCAGCATTATTTTCAGCCAATATTTTGAATCAATTTTGATCTGTACCTCACCAAAAATCGAAATAATTGAAATATAGTGCACAAGTTTTATTGACTTCTGCTTTTTTGTTATATTTGGAGAATGACAACTTCTATTCACATTCACTGAATTGCAAAAAAGCTGCAAGAACATTCTTAAAAACATCTACTTTTGTGTTCCATAAAAGTCATATGGGTTTGAAATTAAATGAGGGTAAGTAAATGACGACAAAATTTTCACTTCTGATTCCTTGACAAGGAATTTAGAGCAGATGAGTTTCTGAAAGAAAGGCCTTCAAAGTTCTTCAGAAAGCATAAATAGTGAAAAGAGCCTAGAGGATTTCAGGAAAACGCTTTTCTGAGGTCCTGTGCAGTTTAATTAGAACAATACTGACAGACCATCATTGAATCAAAAAAAAAAAGTTTAAAAAACACCAAGAATCGTCTCATCCCAGAGCCTTTCCTCCTCTGTCCTGTTGTCTTCTTGATTCATCTTCTCTTTTCCTTTTTTCCTCTCTTTTTTGTGTTTGTGTTTGCCATCTTTTGTTTCTGTCCTGACTTCTACTTGTTCCTCCATCTTTCCCTGTGGTTCCTCGTGCACTTCAATCTCTTGTTTGACCAAGAGCTCCTCTTCTTTTTGTCTCTTTGCATGCTGTCCATCCCCGTGCCTCCTACTTTTCTTGCTTGCTCTTCTTTTACCTCTGCTTTCCTCGTCTTCACTAGAGCTCCTCTCTCTTTTTCTTCTCTCCTTCCATTTCTTTCTATCATCTTCTCCTTCTACACTTCCTCCCCTGTCTCCTTTCCGCCTCTTTTTCCTTTCACCCCGTTCCGTATCAGACCCTTCCTCCTGGTCTCTTCTGCTCTTCCCTCGCTTTTTCATCTTACTCTTCCGTCTCCTCCTCTCTTTGCTGTCGTAACTGCTGCTGCTGTCACTACTGCTGCTAGTGTAAGAGGAGGAGTCTGAAAAAGAGGAGGAGCTAAATGACTCGGGGCTCCTTCCTCTTTTACACAGGTGACCAGGTGTGAAAGGAGGATGGACATGGGGCATATACCCCGGCCGATAGTGTGGTACAGGGCCTCTCATGCCAAAGCCAAATTGATTGACCTGAGACTGGAAGTCTGGGTGCCAGTGAGGTTGAGGGAAACCAGGAGGCGGAAAACGTGGTACCAGCTTGCCAGGATGAGGCATCTCTTCTGCTTTCTGTGGACCTTCTTTCACACTCTCATCCAGATCCTTGTTTACTTGTCCTATGGTGCCCGGCCCTGCTTTGGGCTCCAGTCCCCGGGCCTTCTGCACCTGAATGTAGTCAGCCAGCTCATCCTGGAAGGAGTCGTACACTTTCTTCTGAGATTTGCACAGTTCCATAACTTTCTTCCGCGGACAGTCACCGCCGGTGTGCCTACACTCATAGAAAATAATGTATTTGAATTTTAAAGACGTGGTGCGACGCTGCGCTTCTCGTCCGGTGTGTGACCGCCTGAAACTTTGTTTTTTTCACCTCCGTGCCCAAACGTCTTTGTTTGGGCTTCCGAAAGCGGATGATGTCAGGAAACAGTGGTTGCAATTTACTTTTTAACTCCTTTCCTGAGCATTATAACCCCAATTTGCTATTGTGTGCTGCGCATTTTACTGAGGACAGCTTCCACATCACGAGTGAGAAGTGCCGGATTCGCCAAAAGCTTTTGTTGAAAGACGGAGCAAGGGGGCGTGGCAGTACTGAAACACAGTAAGATAAAGTGAGTTTTTAATTAGAAATATTGCATAAACTTAATGATCACAAATATTGGAGTCAGATTGAACACAGAGCTAGACAAAATTGAAACTAAGTCCTGATAAACTCAGAAGCGCAAGTAAAAGACTGAATACGCATTAAACTTTCGACCAGGCCGCTGGATTCCGCTTTTTGGGCTGGCGGGTGGATCCTTACAGTAAACAAGATTCATTCTGATTTCCCATTGACTTTAAAATATTTGAAAGCAAACAACGTTGGTTATCAGCCAATACTGATAATCTAAAAATGTCAAATAATTGTTGACTAAGCAGCCTGGCCTATATATCAACCTAATGCTAATGTAAACTTAAGTTCTACCTTCTAAAACAAGACCCAAATCTCAGTGGCTGTAACAAAAACGGCATCAGATAAAATAACCAATGAGAGCGA